ATACTAATTATAATTTTTTAAATAAAAATTAAATTTTTATTTTTAATTTTGTCAGTGGACTGCTCGAGCTACTTCAGTAGCGAGAGCGGGTTGTCGTGTGTTGGGCGGGGGATGGACTGAGAATGGCTCTGTGAGGAGCTTTTCCGGGAGTCGAAAAGTTAAAAAAAATTTCAAAAAAAAATTTGAATTTTGGTTGTAAAATTTAAAATATTTGATATTTTATCTTTAATTAGAATATTTGTAATCTAAGTATAACATTTTAAACTTAAAAATCTAAGTGTTACGTACATACAAACTTTAATGAGTTTATGTGTAATAATTCAAATATCAGGGATTTAAATAATTAAATGACAATTTCGGGGGTGTAAGTGTAATTCTCCCTAAGTGAAAACTCCGGCACCCCCCAACCAGAAAGCAACCAAAAGTAGAGGTGTTCAAATTTTCAATCGACCGCAATTTCCTACCCTACTCGACCCTACCCTACCCTAAAAATCGGCTAATCGCAAAAATCGGGTAGGAATGCGGAATAGTTATCCATTTTCGCATTCCTACCCTACCTTACCCACATTAATTAATTAATTATATTAATTATTTTATATATATATATATATATATATATATATATATAAAAAAAAAAACCCTAATTGCTAACCATCTACTCAATCTGTTCCAAGTTCCAACTTCCTTCGAGAGGCACCTCCCAGTCACTCCAGTCCACTGCTCCTCGGCTCCTCTATTATTAAGGACCTTCAGGCTTCAGGTACTTTCTCTTTCTCTCTCTCCACGATCTGGACCGTCTGGTCTGATTGCATCGCAATCTCAGATCTGGTCTAGACCGTATGATGATGCAATCTCAGATCTCTTCTCAGCACATTGAGTCTTTGACTCCATAGAGTCATTATTATCTGCAGGAATCAAACTCTAAGCAACATAGTTTCAGTATATGAGCTTCGTTAATATTATTCAGATTTTTTAGTCAAAGTAGGAACTCACTGTTGCTATGTGTTCTGTCATATAGATAGCTTTATGTATTAGTTTTATAATATATTGTCCTAGAGGCTATTTCTATTTAGAAATTTTTCATTTATATGTGATTTGGAGATTCAATGCGATGAAATCCCCATAAATTCCCACAAAATTTTCAAAAACTGTCACTTGAATCACGCATAAATATTTTCATCCTTTCCAAAACCTTTGAAAGAGTCCACAAATAAAATCCCCATAAATTCTACCTTGATCCCCACAAAAGCTAAAGCTTTTTTCGACACCTAACTACCACATAAAATGTATGGTTAATTTTTGTTTTATCTCTCATTTGTAAGCTTGTGGTATTGAATTCAAATGTTATACTTGTTGAGTATAAAAATTTTTACGTATCATGATATTTATGTTCATTTCATGTGTTTAGTTCAGCTATAACTTTTTGACCCCAAAGTATTAGATAGATGAAAATTGAAATGTTCACTAGTTGCTTGAATAATTGAATCCCTTTGTGACTGTTAAGAATTGGTGTTGAATTATGATGTTGTTACAGTACATTGTGTAGTTGATTGCTCGTATAGGCTGCCACTGAGTTCCATTATATCATTACCTTTCTGCCTTTTTATCTTTCCTTTCATTTATATATGTTTTTTTTGGTTTAAGTGAAAGCATTTTAAGTGCTCTTTGTTTTTTTACTTTTATATGCACATGATTGAAAAGAATATATAGAAGAGGAAACCTACTCATGATGTTTGATAGTTTTGGGTTTGTGTTTGTTCTATGTCTCGTTACAGTTTAACAAAACTTGATAGCTTATTTTTATGGTTAATTTTTTTTATTTGCTTGTTTGCTTGTGTAGAAGATAAATTTGCTTATGTAGTTCGTTAATTTGTTTTGTTAACTGATCCTTTCCTTATTGATGAAATTATTTCACAATCATCTACTTAAGCTGATTCTAACAGTAACATCCAAAGTTACTGATGACATTCAGACTGAGGGACAAGATACAAAAAAAAAATCTAGAGTTTGGGAGCATTTTAAAAAGATTGAAGCTGCAGATGAAGCTAAATGTCAGGATTGTAGTAAGATTTATAATTATCATGCAAGAAAAACAGATACTTCATCCTTGCTTTATCATTTAGATCGTTGTAAATCTTATTTGGCGAGTGTGAATAAAAATGACATATCTCAATTAAAGTTAATTGGCGCATTCAAAAAAGATGGAGATGGTGTTGGTAGTGACATTAATGTTGCTAAATTCAATGAAAAAAAAAATAGGGAGGCAATTGCTAAAATGATTATAGTGATTGAATTGTCGTTCCGATTTGTTGAAAGACAAAGATTTAGAGACTTGATGAGAACTGTTGAACCTAGATTTCGTATACCTTCCCGTACCACTGTGATAAGGGATTGTTTGCAATTATATATGATGGAGAGAGAAAAATTGAAACATATGTTTGTCTCATCTAGTCAAAGGGTTTGTCTTACTACTGATACATGGACGTCTATTCAAAATCTAACTTATGTGTTCTTAACTGCACATTTCATTGATAAAGATTGAAAGTTACACAAACGAATAATCAATTTTCTGAAAGTTCCTAATCATAAGGGTGTGACAATTGGAAGGGAAATTGAAGCATGCATGCTTGGGAGGGGGATAGATAGCGTATTTACTGTTACAGTGGATAATGCAACTTCTAATGATGGTGCTCTTGATTATTTAAAGAGAGGAACTAAGGATGGAAAGTGCACTATCTTAGAAAATGAATTTATGCATGTTAGGTGTTATGCACACATTTTGAATCTAATTGTCATAAAGGGTTTAAAGGAAGTGAACACATCAATTTTGAAGGTACGAAATGCTGTTAAATATGTGAAGTCTTCTCATTCAAGGCTTTACAAGTTTAAATCATGTGTTGAGAGACAAAAAATTGGTGAAAAATGTCTTCTTTGTCTTGATGTTCCAACAAGATGGAACTCTACATATTTGATACTCAAAATTGTTGAACAGTACCAAAGGGCATTTGATTTGTTGTAAGAAGATGATGGGCAATTTGTAAGTCAATTGAGTGAGGGGGTGGTTTTGGGCCACCTACATTTGATGATTGAGACATTGTTCGTGTGTTTATGAAGTCTTTGAAACTTTTCTATGAAGTCATTTTACGCATTTATGGATCATTGTATATCACATCTAACTTATTTTTTCAAGAACTTTCTATTATGTATGATTATTTGCAAGGTTATTGTGAAGATGATGACTATCTTTTGAGTACCATGGCTATGAGAATGAAAATCAAATATGATAAGTATTGAGGTCATTTAGATAATATTAATTTCATGTTGTCTGTTGTTATTGTTCTTGACCCACGTTATAAATTGGATGCTTTAAAATTTTGGCTCAATGACAATTAGAAGGCTGAGGATGAAGTAGTTATAGTTCAATTAGTTGAAAAGATCAAAAGGGTCATTGACCAATTATGCCAACAGTACACTAGATTTAGTGTGGGGTGTGGAGTGAGGTCAAGTGTTGACTATGAGAAAAATATGTTTTCGGCTGAGATATCTGTTCAAGATCAAATACCTACAAATTTCATTAATAGGGACTGCAAGTATAGGGCTGAGAAAGGTAATGTGGACAACAAATCAGAGTTGGATCGATATTTGATGGAGGATGTTGAATTTGTTAGCGCCAATTTTGATATTTTGAATTGGTGGAAGGTTAATTCTTCTAAATTCTCAATCCTTGCCAAAATAGCTCGTGATGTGTTAGCTATTCCCATTTTTACGGTGGCATCAGAATCAACTTTTAGCACTAGAGGTCATATTTTAGATCCTTTTCGGAGTTGTTTGGCATCCAAAACAGTTGAGGGTCTCATATGTGCACAAAATTGGCTTCAATCGTTATCAATTACTTATGACTTTGAAGATGTTTTGGATGATTCAAAAAGTTATAAACTAGATTCAGGTTTATATACTTTTATTGTTATTTTTTTATTATTTGTTGATGCGTTCTTCGTATCTAATTTTTTTTCATACTCTTTTTTATCTCAAAAATATCTGTAGAGACAATTTCAATTTCCCTTGAATGAAGAGAGGTGAATGACACTAGCAAAAAAAGTTTTATTTAACTTTTTTAGATTTTTTTTAGTAATTATAAGAGTATTTGTTATTGTTGTGGATGTTTGAGTTGCTAAAATATTAATTTATTTTTTGTGTAGGTTACATGATTTGTGGTGAACTGCCATAGACGAAGTAGTTATAATTTTAATGTATTTGTGTTTGTGTAATAATTATGGTGGATTGTATTTGTGTAACAATTATTGTTGATTGTATTCGTGTAACAATTATCGTGGATTGTATTTGTAACAATTATGGTAGATTGATAGCTAAAATAATTATAATTGTTGTTATAATTGTTTTAGATTTTAGTATTATTGATTTATTGTGTTGTTAAAATAGTACATGTTATTTAATTAAATTGTTAAAATGATTCAAAAATTAATAGTTACAAAAGTGTTTATTCGTCTTCTTACCCGATTAATCGAATAAGAAGTCGGATAGAAATATTACACCTGATCGGTGGTAAAAAAAAATTCTTTCGTAAAATATCGACTAGAAATAAGGAAGACTAAATTTTTTATCCGTAGAATAGGACGAAGACCCTAAAAAAAAACATTGAAAGCTCCGCACGTAAGCCGCAGAGCTTGCTAAAAGACGCAATTTGCGTGATCCACTCACCACACACCATTTTCTCTCACCAACCTCAACCTCCTCTGGGCCCACAGCCCATCTAACTATTTAAATTGCAGTGAATGCGAATTGCGGACCACTGCGCATTTTAAGTTTAAGCGTCTCACTCACACCTATACCCATTGAACAAAACTACATGAACAAAGAAGAACCTCGCTGTCACTGACCTCGTTAATTTCACCGGTGATAAATCGAGAGAGAGAAAAACACACACACACTCTCTCTCTCTCTCTCTCTCTCTCACACACACACATAGTAGCTAGCGGAAGATGGGGAAGAAACGGGTGATGTTGCCGGCGAGTGAAGTTGACTTGGCGGAGGTGAAATACGAGCAGGAACTAATCCAAGGTCTGTGTTCTTCTCTTTTTCTTTTTTCTATTTTGTGAAATTGGAGTTATGTTTTTGTTGAAATTCGATATTTGGATGAATAAATGTTCAAGTCACGGATTGGTGGTGGTTGTGGTTTTGCAGCGCCTCGTTTGTCTGGGTTTAAGCTGAAGTTATTTGTTAAGTTAATTGAAGCGCCATTGATTGGTTCTTTGATCATATCTCAATTGAAAAAGCAAAATAAAATGGTTGAGGTCCGATCGTTCTTCAATTTCCATTTCCAATTTTGTATATCTTTTCTTGTCTTTATTTAAAGAGACTAAGTGTGGAAAACTGTTTATATTTGACAGATGTTGCAGAATAGTGTGATACCAGAGGCACCCATGTTTAAGCCCGAGTTCCCTCCTCAAGGTTTATTCTTACACCTTTTTTTTTAATTTGATAGTTATGCTAGCATTTTATTTTTACCCCTTCCTATGTTGAATTAGGAAGTTAGAACCAGTGTGTTTGTTTTAATTCGCTAATTTGGTGTAAATTGTGCTTGATTGTCTAACGTTCAAACTTTTTAATTCATTCTTATGTATTTACATTGTATATAGTATCCATTATTTTACTTCAATATCCTTGTTTTACGTGGACTAAAGGAAGGAAAAGACACACTACTTAAGCTGTTTTTTTGGTGAGCAATGTTCCTTGGACTTAAAATGCTAACTTAGTCTACTGACTTGATTAATCAATGTCATTGATTTAACTGTGAGTCTTGGTATTTATTTACCACCGAGACTCCCTACCTATTCATTGGTTGTGATCAATTAGAAAGCAAATCAAGTCCACATTTTAAGTCCAAGTAGAATTTTCCTTTTTTGGTAGATTATTTTTTTCTCTGTAATTCTTTGTTTTGAACTTCATGCCATGTTGTGAAGATTGGTGTTTCCGTAATGTAAGGAACTTAAGAGTGTCTTTATTAGATAACATAAGCAGTAGTCTATTACGATGCCGGTGAAGGTGTACAGAGTGATTGAGGTCCAACCATCCAAGGTATCACCGTAAATAGACAATCTGAAAAGTAGTGCATATTGTGGAAGTAGGGACCAAGTATGTTGCTTTAAGCTGTGGTCAATCAATTGCAGTCCTTTATACCTGAACTGACCCAGTTAGCATGATGTGAATTTAGAACCGGAAACTGGTGTTGTTCTTCTGGAGGAAAGTGGAAAACCTGAAGACAGAGTTGAATTAGCCTTTAAGTGTCTGCCACACTATGATCCTGCTAGCAGCTGTAGTGTTGAATCCCCTACAACGTTCTGCTATTGGAAGATTCGTGATTATGCATATGCTTACAGGTTGAAGCTTGCCACCCCATCTATGGTAAGTCATGTATATATATGCGCTTTTCTGTTTGTTTTTAATTAGTGGGAAGGAAGAATGCCACTTTTATTATATAGGTTGCAGAGCGATTCATTTCAGCTATGGAGGAATTTGTTAACAAGAAGCCCCCGACACCACTGTTGATTTCTTTTGATGCTGAGGAAGTAAGAAAGCAAGCTGCAGCTTCCACACAAAGGTTTGAGGAAGGTATTGCGAATTCAAACGTGTTTCTTCGTCGTTTCTATTAATATTGGTAATTCTATTGGATGCACCACATCTGATTAGCCACATCATGTTTAAGTTTCCTGTGGTTGATTTTGGTTTTAGCTTAATTCTCCTGTGGTTGTGGGTTGTGCAGGAAATCCATTATCTATTTTGGATGGGATTTTCATGGCAATCAAGGATGATATAGATTGCTACCCTCATCCATCAAAGGGTATATACATGGTTGACTTTTCAGTCCCTTTAAGATTTCTGAAGCAATTGTTGACTAGTCCTTGAAAAACAGGTGCATCAACATGGATGCATGAGGTTCGCCCTGTTAAAAAGGATGCAGCCAGTGTATCAAGATTACGTAGCTGTGGTGTGATTCTTGTTGGAAAAGCAAATATGCATGAATTGGGCCTCGGAACAACTGGAATTAATCCTAATTATGGGTAGGTTCTGCATAACAGCTATATAGAAGCGACATCAACCGAAAAATGGTTAACATGGACCACACATGACCTTAGGGTCTTATGAATGACAAGTAAGGCCTGCATTCACAGGTGCATCTAATGAAGGATGGTGCATCACATTTTAGCATGTGTTATTGATGCATTTGACCTGGAAAAACTGGATCTATTAGGAGTTTCCTTGTAAAATTGCTTTGCTGGAATTTGTCATGCAATTCCCAGAGTCTTTCTGTGTTCATCTTTTTAAATTTTACCTAAAATTCAGCCTTATAAATAAAATGCATTTCAAGTTCATAAATTGAATGCTACACAACACAATAACAATCCAAAACTCATTCAATATATTTTTGGCTTTAACTTTTCTTTTTTAGCTGGTCTTTACAGGATAATATAAAGTTTAACAACGGAACCTTGCATTATTATGGCACTTGACTCACGTGTTGAAATCTCTCATTTCACAAAATTGTGATGACACATAAACTTTTTTAGTAACTGAATTAACCAATAAGCTTGCTTCCTGTTGCTATTTATTAAATTTAGATGTCTATCCGTCATGCTGATATATAGGTATATGTATTTGTGGGCATTATGAACGAAATTAACTCATTGGAAGTGATTGATAAGATACTTCTTAACATTGTAAAGAACTTGTTAAGGCACGAATAACCAACTATATACACTGGTCCTACTAAGTCATCCTAACACTGATTGGGAACTCATTAAATAGGGACATAAATTATTGGCTTTAGTATTGCTTACCCTATGCTCAGACTGGAATCTTTCTGGTTACCGCTCCCTCCTTCCCGGCCCTCTTGCTTACTATGAGTAAGATTCCTACAAGCCCATGTGCAATGGTGCAAATAGATAGGATTCGATATTACAAATCCAACCAAATACTATGGGATTGAACATCTGGCAATACATAACCTCTCCTTCGGTAGGACAAGCGTTAGTACGATTCAAGAGAATTTTACATTCTCGGAACGCATATACCAAAAACTAGAGTCGTGAGGGAACCTAACCACAGTATAGGTTCCCATCTCCCTTCTTTAGTAGCAATGTTCACTATTGCCGCTGTTGCGGATCTGCCCATGGGTTTTAGTAGATATCGGTATGATTGTAGGATGTTCTAACTCAGAAGGCAATGATAGGGAGTACTATTAATCGACCGTATTATCGACCACGATTGAATCCCTCCCGCATTCGGCTTCGGGCATAGGTCTTAAATCAATAGGGCAATATCATAGCTATTATTGGCATGAACCCTATCACTTAAAGTCTGGCCTACTTCGTGGGTTTGACCACCAGATCATCAACATAGCACTCGACCAGCTGGTGCAACATTTCTTTGAGGATATGTATCATGACACGTTGATACGTGGCACCGGCATTCTTAAGGCCGAAGAGTATAACCTTAAAGGATAGGATTCCCCTAGGGGTCCAGATTTGAAGATCTTGCACTTTTTGGTGATTAATTTTTCTATACATGTTCTATTTGTCTGCATTCTGCTCACCATTCCTATCTCCATTATCTGTGATATTGGTTGTACATTGTTTGGTATGGCAAACAGAGTTTCCAAAACCTTACATTATATGACAGGACGGCAAGAAATCCACATGCTCCAGATAGGTATACAGGTGGGTCTTCCTCAGGCCCAGCAGCAATTGTGGCTTCTGGACTTTGTTCAGCTGCTTTAGGAACAGATGGTGGAGGTAATGTAACACATCAGGCTTCATAGTGGTTCTCCTTATTTTCACAGGACCATCCTAATTTTTTTGTGCTTAATGGAAAAAGTCAGGTTCGATTCGCATTCCTTCTTCCCTCTGTGGTGTAGTGGGCTTGAAATCAACATATGGACGGACAGACATGAAAGGGTAAGCTTTTGAACTTTGAGAGGTGTATTTTCTTAGATGCCCTGATTCTCCCAAGTGTTCTGTTCTTTGAATAATGATGTTGTGCTGACCAATAAGAACAGCCACAATCCAACTCACATCCTTGCCTCCCATTTTCAATCTTCTGAGTTTTTTATGGGTAGGTTTATGATGTTACTATCTGTCAACTTTTACACTTACGTGCATGTGTGTTTGCATATGGATATTCTTGCATCTAACATGTATAGCCTTTTCACTTCTGCATAAATTGTTGTCTATGTGTTGTCTTTATACTGTTTAAGTTACAGCATTTTTCTTTCTCTATCTGCATCAATAGGTCAAGTTCCTACTCTCTAATGAATGCCATATGTTGCTGGGTAGGTTGGATGTTTCATCAAAATTCATAACAAAAACACTCATGTTCTTTATTAAGTTATTTTTTAACTATTGTAAAAGAGCCTTACAATGTTAAACCATATTTTTCCTAGTCTTCTGAGCTTTCTATTCTTTCAGGTCGTTATGTGATGCAGGGACTGTAGAGATTATCGGACCAATTGCATCAACAGTTGAGGATGTCATGCTTGTGTAAGTTTTATCCACACGTGAATGTCTGTTCAGTAATTCTTTTCAATCTTCCTTCCTTTTCATATGGTTAGATCCCAAATGTCAGTTGAATATGGCCATCTAAATGTATGACTCACCTTTATCCCATTGTAAGTTCCATTATGATAATCAAATATCATTAATTGGCTATTCTGTGTATTGTAGAGTACATGTAGATGGAGTTTCCTTGGATTTTAGTTAAAAATAAAGGATTGAAAAACATTCAGAGTCATGTAAACTAAGTTGGGAACTAAAGACATCAGAGATAGGAGAAACGAAAGTGTCATACAAATAATTTCAGAGATATGATTGTTCTGTCAAGAGATATTTGTGCATTAATGCATGATGATGTAGGACAAGGATCATGAGACACTCTTTTTACAAGTTTTGAAACCAAAGTAGGTGTTGGGATGAAAAAGTGGGTTTAAATGGTGATTATGAGGGACATTTGTTGGATCTCTGTTAAAAACGTGCGAATTAGTGGGCTTACTGAATTAGGATTCATACATTTAAGAAGAGTTGTTTTGCATAAAATTGCAGCAATAGAGGAAAAAAATAGAGTTGAATAAGATAACTAGGCAATAATCGAATAGGTATACACCAGTCCGAATTGCATCCCACATCCTAGAATTTTTTTAAAAGCTCCGGGAATTTTTGTAACTTCTTCATTGAATTGAGATTATTGCACTGCCATATGTAAATTTTAGGCAATCCTCCTAAGTCTAAAATTGACTTTTTGATTCCCTGTTTGATAAAAGACATTTGCATTTTAAAACTTATCTAATTGCTAAGGATTTCTTACAGCAAAAAATAAAATTGTACTAAGTGTGCTGTATAAGGATGGACTTATTTATCTTGACCAATTTAATACCCAGTGCATTACTACACCTGTATCTAGTAAATTCAGCAGTAATAGAAATACTCTTTACTTCAAAAACAAAAGAAAAAAAAAATCAACAATTGCTTATTTTAAGATTCCACTATGTAAGGTCCCAATTCGAACAACTTTTGGATTGATCCAGTTTCCTAAATTTATGTTTTCTTTGAATTAAATATTCCTTGTGTTTCTTGTGGAATGGATCAGGCTGTTTTCTGAGCGTGCAATCGACAGTTTAGCCATTCCTGTAAAGGTGGACAAATAAAAACAAAATTCAGCTTAATAAGCTTTAATACAGGGGTTGCATGCACTAAGTGTGTGATCCACAACCCTATTCTAGGATTCTTCTCTATTAGAAGTAATGCTATCTTCTATTATTTGTTACTTGACCAGTGATCATGCCAGTTGGTAGTAAAGAACATAGTAGTTATCCATTTTACTTTCCTCTTGTGCCAGTCGGCAGCAAATTAGGCGATGAGTTAATGATAGTCAGAGCAAATTCGCTTGACTCAGCCGAATCAAATTTTAACCACCTAAATTAAGTTTATTTTTCTACAGAATTTGGTTTCATCCTCATGCTCGAACAGAAGGCATTCCTTGTCTATATTTGACCATATGTAATTGAAAAACAAAAAGAAGCATGGAAATGTCGCTCTTTCACAGGATCTTTAAGAAACCAAACACTATAAAACTCTTGAAGATAAACTTGCCTTATTGTAGTCGTTTTAACTTTCAAATATATTTTAATTTATGGAGATACTATAATTTTCTAGTGAAAGACCTAATCAGTACGGTACAATATAATTTTTTTTTGAATTCTGATGAAGTACAGCATTATTAAGAGCTGCCAATGAATCTTTCTCTCTCTGTGAACTACTTTTTCAGTTTTATTTTACTGTTTGAATAAGCTTTGAGCTCCATGATAAAGGATATTCCATCAATATGCCTCCAGTAGCCTCATACATGTTTCAACAAATCAATATCTATGTAGCTTCCCCTTTCCTTCAAGATTCTTTTTAGGCCTTATCATGATCAAGTGGTAGATTCTTGCTTTCCATTCATCTGATTAACATGAGAGCCTTTAACAAGGCGGCAGGGAGACGACTACATACGACCCAGTAATTGCCAAGGCCATGGGGCAGCCTGGGCCTTGCTTCCAGCTTATGCACATGTCAAGTACTAACAATATGTAACATAATAGAGCATTTGCCTGTGGTAGGCATCTGGTTATTTGGCTGGTATTGCAGTACAGGCCATGGCTCAAAGTCAAGGTGGGCTTTCAGCAGTAGATTGGGCGTTATCCTTCAATAATCTGAAGTGGTAATTTGTCTAGGAGGTAGATGCATGATACCCACATGTCTAGCATGCATTGGACACACATTAGGCTTACAATTCAGCTTTTCTACAGTTCAATGTGATTTGTGGAAAAGCTGAATTTCTTTCTTAAATCAAGCATTCTTCCACAATGCATCCCTCTTTATGTTCTTATATGCTCGAAATACCCTCTTTCTTTCAAGTTATGCCTGAACTCTAGCCTTGATGTTGTAATACAAAATATAAAGCGTCAGTATGATTATAGTTATTAGTATCGTACGATATGCGATACAATACATACCATATGTTACGATACATGAAAAAAATTATATGTATCACGATCCACGATATGATACACTTAATATACTAGACAATACGTACGAGTCGTCAAATACAGGACGAAACAGATCAAAAAAATTTCCTTTGATTTTTAACTAGAAAACGACGCATTGTCACTTGAAAGTAATTTTTTCGAACTTTAGGTAATAAATCGATCACCATCTATAGTTTTTAAGAAATAAAAGTCTTCTTTTTTATTCATTCCATCGCCGGAGCAAATAGTTTGATTGTTAAAAGTGTCTTCCTTTGGCTACTTTAAATTTAAAACTAGAACTCTCTAAATTTTAATATTGATGAATTATGTTAGAAACTTCAATATTAGATTGTTAATTTTTTTGTTTTGGTCCTTGTAGTCTCTTTAAATTGTTTTTGTGACATATGTATTTTAACTAGTCGGTCACACTTAATCGCCCATTTGAGATGATGTTGAGGTTTTCACGTTCGCTCTTGTTTATTTTTTCTTTTCAGGTATGCCGCTATCTTGGGCTCCTCTCCTCTTGATAGAATCTGTTTAAAACCGGTAATTATTTAACAGTGTTATATGGTCTCTAAATTGTGAAATTCTTGGTTACACTCAAGTTTGTTAATAAAATATTGGTTTGAAGTTCTTGATAAAAATGCGCAAACCTAGGATTTCATATATTTAATTAGGAACGATACACCATCCCCTATTTGGCTGCGCTTTTCCAGTGCCAGACTGACTGGGATAAGAAGCACATAAAGAACCTATTTATGTCATATATGACTCTAATTCTGCTTTAAAATTGACCTTGGTCTATACATCATGATTAGAACCATGCATATTGGAGTAGCCCTTTGAGGAGAAGTAACGCATTCATTAATATTTTTCCCAATCAACAACTATGTTGAGCACATTTTTCATATTATATAAAGCAAGCTAGGGAAACTATTTTTAGCATGAATTTTCCGACTGTTTAATCATCATAGTCATTGGGGTCACTATTATTGTTGGCAGTATTGTTATTTGGGCGAGTTTCAGGTGACTATTTTTGACATCTGTGTAATAATTGGAACTTTGTGGAAAGACCCCAATGCTCTCTTTGTCGAACCCACTTTTTTCCTTCTCAACTTTTGTTTTCACCCGCTTTTCAACTTTCTAACATCAAACCTCCCAAGTCAACTAGGAAAATAAAATGAGATCAATAAAAGAGAACTGAAGAGGAAACTTAATCCGTCCAGACATACTACAAGAAAATAGGAAATTTAGAGATTAACAAACTGGAACATGTGCATTACACCCTGTCGTGTGTCCATAATTGAACAATTGAAATCGTTATTTCAAACGTGTGGCTTACACTTCGAACATTTGCCACTGTGGGATTGACAAAAGTTTGGAGTTGAAAAATGACTGTCTTATAGCATGAATACAAGGGCAATTCTTAAAAGTAAGTAAAGCGAAGGTCGTATATGATTACTTAGAAAGTTTTCATTGTAATGTGGAAAGATACATGAAGGTTCTGTCAAAGGAAGGCGCCCAAAATGACAAGACTCGTCATAATTATGTATGCTTCATTGGATTTGTTTATACAACATAGGTGATTATGATTCTTTGGTTGTAGCAATATATGTAATATTACATTAGGAAGGTGGCCTAGTGTGCATGAGTCCCCCACCACTATGCAACCTTGCCCTCACATGCGGAGAGGTTGTTTCTGTGACTCAAACCCTTGACGCCCATGTCACAAGCTGCGCAAGTGTATTTGGTTGTCGTGCATTCAACGTATTTGTGTCCAATTTTGTGCTTCGTAGCATGAAAATCTGGTTGCAGAATTGTTACCCTTAATTTGTTTACTCAGTACTCCTGCCATGTGTTTTTGTGATACTTGTCTTAGATTCTTCAACTATTTAAGCCTCATGTTCAAAGCATCTCTTACTTGTTCAGATCTTCTACTGAGTATCGTGCTTGTTTTATACTGGCACTGATCAAAGTTGAGGCCAATTTGGAGGGTTTAGATGCAGAGTTTTTTCGCCTGAATTACATGACTTTGCTCTGCATCTTATATGTTATAGCATCCATCACCATCTACTCTTTTTGCAGTCCCTCCCTTGTGTGCCAGATTTATCTTCACACGAGAATTCAAATGTTCTCGGATCACTACGATTAGGAAAGTATACCGAGGTGATCGTACTCCCCTTTAACTGAGAATGGCATTGATGTCATCAGTCTTGCATGGCATTTTACTAGTTTATGACTTTGCTCCTGCAGTGGTTTAATGATGTATTCTCAACTGATATCTCCGAGAAGTGTGAGGGTGTTCTTAATCAACTATCAGAAACACATGGATGTAAAGTAAGTCAATCGCCCTTATTATGTGATTCATTGTTCTTATAGTGCAATATATATATATATATATATATATGCATATATAATTCTTTAACTTCTTGTGGTTGAAGGTAGTAGAGATTATAATACCTGAGCTTGATGCCATGCGCCTGGCCCATATTGTTTCAATTGGTTCTGAAGCACAATGCTCATTAACGCCTGAGGTTGAGGATGGGTATGCTGCTTTACCTTTTAAATTTGATTAGTATATAGGTATCCTGATCTACTGGTGTTAGAATGCTCTACTTAATGAATTTCAACCACTGAATTTTGTATTATTCTTAGGAATCTTTTTTAACACTCTTATTTCTTTCTTCTTGTGTAGGAATGGGGCGAAATTAACATTGGATACTCGCACTAATCTGGCTCTTTTTCGGTCATTCGCAGCTTCAGACTACGTTGCTGCCCAACGCCTCAGGTGAGGAAAAAACATTTCACCTGTTGCTGCCATAGTACTGACGCAATTCATTTTTATTTCCAAATTTCTTGAATCCAATGAAACATTCTTTGAAAATGAATAATGATTAGACCATACAGATTTGTGGATTAGATCAAATGAAAATGGCATTCAGTCTATTGTGCTCCTGGACACATTTTTCCTCGGGGCACGGCTCTTTTAGCGTGTTCGTAGGGCGTTGCATCTGAACTAGGAGTACCATAATTCATTTATGCCCCTAACTTCAAAATAGTTGGTTGAGGCTCAGATTACAATGATATTCTTGTAATATGATGACATGATGCAATTTCCTTTAGATTAATCTGAATTTGCAGTCACTTGGTTTGGTTGTAAGTTTGAAAACCATTAGTAATTGGATTTTCATCCTTTTCAAATGCATACTTTCTTTAATTTTATGGGTTACGTAATTGTTCAACTTTGTAAATGCTATTTTATGAACTACAATATAAATAAGTTGCTGTCTCCTTAATATGATCAAAATCAAATAGTTTTAGATTACTTATTGCGATAGAGTGATACTTTTATATCTTTTGGATCATTGGTTACTTGTCTAGGATAAAGTTTATTGTCTTTAAAACGTCAGATGGTCTTTCATTCAGACTGGGCGTAGCATGAAAGCAAGAAGTGGTCTATGTCTTCACCATATTTTGTCGGTGCCTTGTTGTTTTCCCAAATCCTTTTTTTTTCAATGTTATCTAACATTCAACTCTATCTTGTGCTTGCTATACAATTGTGGTCTGATTGGAACACACACTGGTGTATTAACATGTATTGTTCAAAATCTGAACAAATTATGCATCAATATTTTAAAAATTAATAGAATGCTTGAAAATTGCTTAGGCATGTATATATGTGTATTGTGCATATTTCAGTTTCATACTTTCATCTAATTTATTCCAGGCGAAGGATAATGTATTACCACATGGAGATTTTCAAGAAGGTGGATGTGATAGTTACCCCGACCACTGGGTATGATCAACTTAACTGTTAGTTTACAGAAATAGATATTAATTTATGAGCAAAATGGTACAAAATAGGTATTTATGCTGGATTTTCATGTTGGTTGTTGGATTGTGGGGGGGGTGGGGGGTCAGTTTTGCTATTTAATTGATGATGCAGTTGCTATATGCATTTGTAGGAAAGAATTACTTTTGTCTCGGAATTTCATATTTTGTTTTTTACAATCAAGGAAAATCTCTATTTGACCAATTCTAAATATACCTTTTCTTTTTCAGCATGACAGCACCTGTAATACCCCCTAGTGCTCTTAAACTTGGGGAGTCAAATTTGCAGGTTTCTGGTAAGTTGATTACCGTTCTTAACTTATGCTTGAGAAAGGTGTTCTTTCTCTTCAAAACTAATACTAGTAGCTGTTTTTAATGATTACATGCGTTATTCTAACTTACGAATGTGGAATTTTTTTTACTATTCACTTGGGATTTCTGAAGATACTGTTTTTTTTTTTTTTTTTGCCATTGCTTCATTTATCTCTTGTTTCATTTGTAGACAGGTAGGAGCTATAGCTAAGCTGCCACCTGTAGTCCAGGGTCATTAAATAATATAGAATATTTTTCTAGCCAAACAGAAGTTCCTATAATTAATAACCTTGTAGGCCTTTAGGATTTTTCATTGGGAATCACCTGCTATTTTCTTTAATTTAAAACATTGAACTTTTGTCCTGAATTTCATATATTTGCACAGAGCATAAAACAAGTGATAAATGAAGGCTTGAGAATTAATGTGATAAACATTTGATATTTGCATTAATATATGCATGTGTGTGTTAGTGTGTATACATATATATTAATATATTATTATTTTTTTGGAGAAAGCTTGAGAAGTCTGTCCTCTTTATTTCTATCAATTCTTAGAATTTTGATTTATTTTACTAAGTTCACTCTAATCACATTACACCATAACCACCCCTCCACTACCTAATGACTCCTCATTTGAAATTGTTTAAAAAATTACTTTCTATCACCTAAGTATTCATATTTTTTGTCTAACTTCTCAAGTGGTGGATTGGGAGAAAGAAGGAAGAGGAAGGGGTAATGAAAGGGGATGAGATGCAAATTTCGTGAATTGCTCGCACGAGGCCATCAATTGTATATCTGTATCTATATATGTAGATGAACATGAATCATATGAAGGCTTTTAGATGGAAAGTTTGAGCTTGACATATACAAAATTTCTCTGGACATGTTTGAGGAATGTGATCTGTGGCGTTTGTGAAGAAAGAACCTGTCAATTTGTCGCTTTGTATCACAGGTGGCTTTAGTACAAGAGGGTCAACAATGCATGACCTAGTTTCTGGACATGCAGCAATGATAATAGGGATACCTTCGTGTGAGATCTTTCTTCTTTTTTTTTTTTGGGGGGGGGTTGGGGGGGGGGGGGGGGGGTGGAGGAGGTGGGAGTTTCCCTGTTGGGGTTTTAGGTTTTTGGTCTTTTTTTTTTTTTGTGATGTGGGGTACAATATAAAACATATTCGGCATATAAATGCACTAGTTATAACCCGTGCCTAAAAGCACGATAAAATATAAAATTCGAGCGCCCAAAAAATCAATCTCACTATATTAAATTTTTTCAACATGTGATACTATCATATATGAATAATGTTTGAAATAAAAATTATATTAACTATAAATTAATCAAATATTAAATGATTAAACATATGATAGAAATGAGTGATGTGGTGTTTTTAAGGGGAAAATATATAAATGATTAAACATGTGATAGAAATGAGTGATATGATGTTTTTAAGGGAGAAAATATGTGGGAGATAAAAATTCAAGTTGCCATGTGTTTTATTATGTAGATTACTCATGGTCCCAAAATCCCTGTTTGCATTTTCTGTCGTATTCTGTCAATCAGCTGTGATCTGTGACAAGTATGACCGCCTTTATTGTACTCAACTTGAAAATTTTAGAAAATGTCACCACTGCAGGCGTTTAGGGACCCCTTGATTTGTAGTGGAACTTCTTGTGTACCATTTATGAACTTATTCTCCTGCTTTTATTGGTGCAGCTCATCTGTTTGCTTTTTACTCTCTTTTAGGCAGTTTATGCTTGTGTTCTTCTTTCAGGCAATCTCATGCGATTTATTATAACAGCAAATCTTCTCGGGCTCCCTGCCATTTCTGTCCCTGTAAGTGATATGCATCTGTATCCCTTATGTTAGATAACGAAGCATTCAACAAGATTATATCTTTGGTGTAACATATTGAGCATAATTTACTCGAAAGACCCATAGAGACGAAGGGCTGAAGGGGTTTTGACTTACATGTTACTGATTGAAGAAATCCTTTATTTTCCTACCATATTTTCGTATCATATAATCCCCAGTTGACTTCCTTCAAAGGAATTTTTATCCTAGTGATTATAATGTGCTTGATTTTCTATTTGGCATTAATTTCTTAGGACCAATATTCTGGTAGAAAGTTAAAAAAGATAGACCTTTGTTCTGAGCTATAGTGAGTTGAGTTTCCAAGCTGACACTTGAGTCAAAATCCGCAGCCATAACAAACATACAGTTTAGTGTTGGCTATTTTATGCTTTCTATGCCATCTAAATTTTGTTGGGGAACCTCCATCTAATTCCGCTTGTCAAGAATTTGGCCCGCTCTGGCTACATGGGAACATAAAATCTGTACTAGTTTCCTACTAAATTGTTCCCTTGAAGTATGCATTTAGTCTCACTTTCGTTGTCATTTTTGGTTTTTAAAGTTTCCACTTTGTTTTTATACAGTAAAATTGTCAAACTTTCCTCCTAATAATTAATGCACTAGGGTTATGTGTCTTTTGATTTTGACTGCCAGAAATTATTTGGACAGAAGTTAGTAATTAGACCATTTAAAAACCAATGGAGAACTTTAAAGGCCAATTCAACTCAACTCACCTAAGCCTTTATCACATAATTGAAAGATGAGGGACCAAAATTAAACTGAATGAATACTGTGAGTACTACTGTAATTTACCCAACTATGACCAAAGTTAAATTGAAAGAATACTTCGAGTGCTACAGTGTAATTTACTCGACTGTTTACAATCTAACATCACAGAGGCATACTAATCCTATTTTGTTTAGCTGTTATACCTATCTTACTATATCTCATAGTAATATAGGTATATTGTCTTTAATTTTGAATTTGATACATTTTGACTGTCTGCTAAGAGCCTAAGATCATGCGCATATCAGTGGTTACAATAATTTTGTTTTGTACAATCGGATTTCAAGAAAAAAGTAGGACTGAACCCATACTTTTCGCAATATTATTATGACCATGTTCATCTTTAACAATTATGCTAACTGAATTTGTTGTCATTTATTCTTTTTGCCTCAAAATTTTCAATTTTTAGGTTGGTTATGATAAGCAAGGACTTCCTATAGGACTACAAATAATAGGTCGTCCGTGGTGTGAAGCTTCAGTTTTGCGTTTGGCTGCTGCAGTAGAGGTATGGATTACCATTTCACATACTAGAACAGAATCATGGCGTCTGCATTTTACCATTATCGCATCAATAGATGGTAGATCATCTATCTTTTGATGCGAATTTACTTATTATAGGGGGCTTCACTTGAACTAATAAGGGATTATATATCAATGTAATTGTATCATAGGGTATCCATATCCAGGCCTATAAGATCCAGGTTTTGCATTGTACAATATTATCCATTTTGGGTTCGACTAACATGGTTTTAAAATATTTTATATAATAACGGTCCACAAAAATACACACTTATAAAGCACTTCACAATTTTTTACAAATTAGTGTGGGACTAGGCCACTCCATCCCACTCTGCATTTCCTCTCTTTTAGCTATTTTAGCTAGTCAAACACAAAAAACATTCTTCAACCCACTCTCTATTTTCCATTTCACCCAAATGGCTCTCCAAATGTGGAGAGTCATTTAGTCTCTCTAAATTCTCTCTCTACCTCTTTCTCTCTATCTCTCCCTATATACATATGTATTTCCTTTAAATTATTGGAAGTTAGTGAAAGTTGAGTGAGGTAGTTAGCTAAAATTGAGTGTGGTTGGAGTGAATTTGTAAAAAAGGCTAACTAAAATAGATAATGTAATATTTAAATATATTTTGATTTGCTATTTTGGAGAGCTGCGTTGGAGATGCTTCAAGAGCACACCTTCCTCATGTGGGACTTGTCAAGACCCTAGTGATTTAGGATCCAGAGGATGGCTCCCACCAAGCTAGTTCCCATTACCTCATTGGTCTAGGTGGCCTTCACACCACGAGGTTCAACACCTTGATATCATTTGTAACACTCCAAACTTGTACTATAAAATATTTTTTTATTTAGACAGTGTACACGATTTTAAAATACATTGTACGACGAAAGTTAGAATCGCACGTTATAAAACACTTCCACACATACTTCACCAAGTGACATAGGACCAACTCACCACAATTGCGTATGGATCATCTTTTCTTGTTTTGGGTATATAAAACGATGGCCCATGTAGGTAGCTAGAGTAGATAAATGGAGAATTAACAGGACATTCTTTGCGTTCTTTTTTCAGGAACTTTGTGGCAAGCCTAAGAAGAGGCCTGTATCCTTTTATGACATCTTGAAAGGGAACTAGGAAAACCAAGGTTTCACTTTTTTTTGCTGGCAGTCAAATTAGGTTATGTGTGAGCTATCCTGTTTGTTGCTATGATCTGAAGCAAGTTGGTTTGCAAAACAGAATTTCGTTAAGAATGTTGAAAGCAACTAAAATAATCAGTTTTTTTTTCCTGTTTTGAAACCATTAAAGTTTGAACAAAATCAGCATGTTTGGAGTCGTTGGACTCCACTTATAACACTAAAATAGTTAGTTGCTCTAAGGTGTGGCATACTTGGAGCCGGTAAGTCATTACCTTACTCACCTAATCATTTTAAACTCAAACGCACTCTAGTTTTGCCCGTGAATTAACGCTTGGGAACGAATTATTCGTGAATTTGCGCTCTCAGTTTACAAAACTTGAATTCAATTTTCAATTCGCAAATTCAACTAATTCGCACTCTTACTTATATGCTTACTTATTATTATTATTCAATTTTATTGAGAAAGTATTAATTCAAACCTAAAGATATATATCAAAGTAGAATATTTTATAAACTATAATTATCATCTTAAAATTTTATAATCTACATATATTTAAAAATTAAATAGTTGTGCATGAAATTTTATTTTTTTATATTTTACTTATATTAAACTTTTATGGATAAATGTGTCAGTATATATATTTAATATTATGCTCTCAAGATATTTCCGTTTTCAAAGTTTTTGAATGTTGATACTTTTGCACTCCCGGCTCTGTGACCTAGGTCATAATGTGATCCATTAATTTGACATAAATTCAACACAAAATTATCGAATATGATCTAATATTTACGGGTTTGGATAATAACAAAATTGAACAATCATATGCTAAATAAATTTGTTTGACATGCATACAACACGAGATGTGTGTTGGTTGAACACGACCATAAATGAGTCGAGTTGGGCGTGGTATGACTAAATGGCACCCTTTTTGGATCTGAAAGGAATTGATAAACTACTGTAAATGCATCTCATTCTCTTCCTTAGCATTACTAAATCACTCTTTGTAAGCTAATTTTGGATAGCCCTCATTAAATCCAAAACAGCAAACATCGTAAGCATACATATAATCAAATCATCTGAAAAAATTGGCATTCATCCAAATCTATTTCTATTTTCACCTCTGAATCACATCAATTCAACATTCCTTATTAATGTAACCCGGAATTGGGCTCATCTTTCCCCAAGTTCTTCTCATCCACGACACTGCTTGGAAGATCTGGCCCGGAAGGAATCTTTCCTGGATAATTAGTTGTTGAGGAATCCGACCCTATCATGCTGTTGAATGCAGAAAAATTAGGATATAAGAATAGATATATATATATATATAGCAGGTAATGAGGCACTGAAAATGATAATGTTTACCTTCTGTCCACAATGACCATAGAACGAAGCTCACAATTAGCAAAACTGCACATAATTGCAAAATCTTCAAGCCCTTTCAAAAGAATGTTAAAAACAGCAAATTTATCTGTGATAATTTTCACAATTTTTTTATTATTAATTTCGTTATTGAAAATGGAAGCGTGGTTTAATCACACGCTTAAAGAAGCAGAAGGCCATGGAAGAACCTTGTAGTTCATCCCTTCCACCCGTCTTTTTTTGACTTGTGAATAATTACTGTAATAATTGGCGTGTGAAATATGCTTGATGGCCTTATTGGTTGCATAGTTTAGAGATCGAGGACAAAGTTCCCACCAAAGGATTTGAAGCAAAAACATGAGGTATCTCTAACAAAAGTGAAAATAAGGGAGAAAAAGTTGGGGAGATTGAATAGGTGGTTCTAGACGCCCCAGATGAAAATAGTCCTACCAAATAAAACACAATCCAGCGAGGTAATATCGTGCTTCAATGTTGTCATTGCTAATCTTTAACAAAACAAGTGGCCCAATGAACACTTACTGTTTGCAAATTTTTTTTTCACCAATGGGTGACAGTCATTGCCAAATGCACCAAGTGTATGAAACAAGAACCCACTATGAGTTACTATAGCTATCTCCTTCTCTTCCCGTGTACACAACCTGTATATATGGAAAGGAATTGTCAAGAAGGAGGCTCAAGTACCACTAATGGCAAACACAAATCGAAAAGAATGGGTGCAAGTAACTGCTTTCCAATACAGATAACTGTAGAAAAAGAATCAGATAAAAGCTCACTTACAAATTCAGCCAAATGTATATACATTTCTTCCTAGGGTATTAATTTCCTAACTAAATTCATATCCAATAGAAATTGAAAGGGGTGTGGGCGTGGGCATGGGCAGCTATCAGTGAAATACATAGATTAGCCAATAGATATTGTTTCTGAAAAGGAATTCTATGCTAGAATGTCAAAAGCAATGCAAAACAGAAGTCAAGCTAAAATTACAAACCAGCACACAGCCAACTTGGCTCCTGTTCTTCGAAAGGTTGCATCTGAAACCCTATGACAGCAGATTAAGCAGCTTATGCCAAAACTTGGGTGCCAGGCCTTATGAAGTATAAACCCTGGAGACCCTCGAAGGGAACCATCATCCTTGATACAACAGGATTCTTATCATACAACTCAATATGATGAGATGACAGGGGCAACAGCCTTGGTAAGTTCCATGCAGGAGTTTTCATGGAATGTGCATGCGGTATTGATTAGGAATTTCGGTCACATAATATTTAAAAGCTAACACGATCAAAACAAAACCATTTTATCAAGATATATACAGTTAAAAATGTCATAGTATAATAGTGAGAAAAAGAGTTCACCAATTCATGAACTTCATTCCCCTTGCTGCAAGTTCTTCCTTCGTCTCTCTAACATTGGCCTTCCATAATATATCCTCATCACTTTCTATCTGAACACAATAAAACCTTATAATGGATGTCATATGAACCTGGCTTAGATCCTTTTATCAAATGATAGATGATCTAAAAGCTTAAGTTGCAGATTTGTTAGGACTTGCCAGCGAAAAGTCAACTGAGGGGAAAAGGCATTGATATTCACTGATGCTTCTCTCTTGTCACAAGGATGAACACCCTGCAAACAGAATAATCAGAGAAATTTGCAAGACTTTAACTATGTATGTGCAAGTATGCATACTAGATTCACAAAATTCACCTCTCATATATCAAACGTTCCATCCAAAAAAAAGACAAAATACCATTTTGCTATGAACATCATTTATTACATGCCAATTTGGTAGGAGTTCAAATGATTTATAAATTAAGCTGAGAGATTTCAATAAAAGATTGTGACAGCAACGAATATAAGCTGAAACATGTAAATGACCAAGTAACTTCTGCAAGCAACTCAGATTAAACCCTCATACACAATAACTACAGAAAATTCGAAAGTTACAACAGAAAATCACAGGAAGATGATGTCTTATTCATGCAAGCAACTACGATCTTTTCTTCTTTTTTTTTTTTTTTTTTGACACGAAGCAACTAAGATCAAACCATTACATATTGTAACAACAACTTCAACCGACAAGCACATCTTAAAGAGGTATTATTGAAAATTGCACCAAGATATCCTCAGTTCTCAATCTTTCTAATACTAATATTCCAAAAAACCTCTTATTTTTTACAAATATTACATCATGAGTAGTTAACTTCTAGCTGGTCGAGCTATCAAGCCTGATGTGGGATGGTTACTTTCTACAGATCTACAAAAATTTGACTCGATGCCCTTGATACCTTAATTCTTTCCAAGTTTACCAGCACAAACTAGATACATTTCCTCCTCCTCCAATTGCACTTTAGTATTAGCAACAAGATAGACTGTTCCGCAAAGTGAGACAACTAAAGATTTCTTTTCTTTCTATATGTTATATTTAAGCGCAACCCACGAGACTCCTGCCACTGACCACTGCTAGGCCTAGAAGAGGTCAGAATGCATCCTTATCTTCGTATGTGGAGAGGTGGTGTCCATGCTTCATGTCACAATAGAGCCTAAATATAGCAATAAAAAGCTGGGAAAGAAGTTAAACAACATAAAGCATGCACATATACTGCTTTAATAGACCTACAAAATGCTCTCGACAAAGTTCCAAAGCAACATAGGTGGAGAATTTAGACTTGAAATTGCAGCACGGGTCACTATTCCTGCATTTGCCACCAGAGTGGTACTATATCCATCCTATCTGTATAGCCATCACCACCAAATACTCCAACAGCTGTTTGCATGGTCCTGTACCCATAAATGCCATCATAACTACAAAATAAAAGAATTACCTCGCTCGCTGAAATATGCATTTGCCAATCCCTTTTTTTTCCCGGAGGCCCCTTGTCCATGGATCATATTTTCTACAAACGCAATGTACCTTTAACAATAGGCTGTTTTCAAGCCTTTTACCATTTTGGTTAATTTTTTCCCAGGCATTGTGCACCAGGGTTGAAATGACATTTATTTGAAAATGGGTAAATTTTCACAAAGTACAAGAAGAATGAACAATACAAATTATTTAAATTAAAAGTCACTGAAATTAATGAATACCATAACCTTAACACACAATTTAGTGAAAGAAAGCCCCTCCTTTGTAACAATTCAGAACTGGTTTCTGGATACTGGATAAAATGGTCAAAATATGGAATCAGAAGATTAATGGTATAAGAGTCAAAGCTATGCATACATACTCAAACTAATTAGAACTGAGACAAATTCATGTATGAGAAAAAGTTCCTTGAACATTCTAAACTACCAGTATTCAAAATTTGTCTGTAGTCCAAAAGACATTTGCATGTGATGCAAGCAACAAAGTTCATCAGCTTCCTAAGCTACCCATCACCAACTAAAAACAACTTAAAAGTGAAATTGAACTACCATTCAATGATTAAAATATCTCATTTCGAAATGGTCAAAACATCCGAAAACATTTTTGTTTCCAAGGAGACCGAAATGAATCAGTAATGAAATCGAAATTCTAATACTTTCGAGGTGTTCCATAATGTTTTGAAATTTTTTGTTATATTTCATTGCATCTGCACAATTATTTCAGTATATTTTCAGATATTTTTAAGTATTTTGGTATATTTTCAACCATGTTGAAAACAATTCTTAAAATTTTTATTTTTCTTCATTCCGTTTTCGAAACACGGTAAATATTTTCATTTTCTAGGTGACAGAAACAATGCACCGAAACGAAATTTAAACCTTGCTATTATTTTCCTTTTAAAATTCTAAATACTCAATGAGAGAATGACATGTTCTCATACCAAGGCGTGAGGAAATACACATACAACAAGATGTGTAATTTTGCTCAAGTAGTCTATAAATTCTATTTATCGAAGTAACAAAACCTCCTAAACAGTAGAACTAGTTCTCTTCTCATTAGCACTCGCGAAATGACAAGGAGGAAAGGCAATAAATGAGCAAAGAAAATCAATGATACCGCCCCGGCCCCACACCGGGCGCCACATGACTTAGCTCGGTGCTGTCCACAGAAAAAATAGATGTAACCATCCATGATTCTACCATGCTCCTCCATTAGTTATGGAGAGAAATGGATTAGTTTAATAAAAAGGTTCACATTGATAGCATTCATGAACTTATTTAGTATTACAAAGACAAATGAGGAATTCTAAACTTGGTAGAGACATACTCATGTTCATATTTATTAGTATCATAAATACGCGATATCGCACGATACATTATGATACACTAGAAAAACAATACGTATCATTTCTCTGTTCATGTTTGCACCGTATCGTACGATACACAATACGATACGATACAATACGTCCAATACGTGAAGATTCTGTTTTTTATTTTTATTTTTTATTTTTTGGGTTGAAATAACATTATTGCATCCTAGAACTTATTTTAAATTACTAGTCAGTAAATAACGTCGTGTTCAATGGTTATGATTTAAAAAAAAATCTATTATTAATGTTGTTTAATTGAATTCAAAATTTCTGATTAATATTAATGTTGTTCAATCAATTGGTGTTAGACGTTTGAAGTTAAAGGTTTTTGTATTTTGATATTACTATCTATGTTGAAAACTTAAATAGTTAGTGAAATATTATGAAATGCTATATTATTACGAGTCTATGACTTTTTTTACAAAGGTGTATATATTTTATTAATAATTATTTAAAATTGC